AGAAAGGGTGTGGGGAAGGAAGGATAGTAGAATGAATCGGACATTATTACCCTATGTGTATATGTGATTACATAACTGGTGTGATTCTATATTACTATTGTACTTCATACATATTATACAAATCTATTAAAAATAGAAAACAGGACTGGGGATGTAACTCATTAAGCATTTGCCTAGTATAGCATGAGTGAGGCCCTGAATTTGATCCTTTGTACCACACACACACAAAAAAAAGTGAAAATCTTTTTCTTAAATTCAATATTCCTAAGGGATAGAGGGACCCTTACTAATTTTATTGTTATAATTATAAAGATGGAAAAATGGCAAGTTATTTTTAACTGAAATATAAAAATATAAATGTCCTTATTATTATTTTTATATTTTTAATTCATATAGATAAACATGAAAAGTATATACAATTAAAAAGACAAAGAAGGTATATTTAGATTTTCTTTTCAYAATAAGTCTTGACTTTTCCTGTTAACGAATACTCTGGACCTGATTTAAAATATATATAAGTGTATACTCATTAGTTCTTAAATTCATAGTCTTTTATCCCTGAGTACTAGAGATTGAACCCAGGGTGTTTAACCACTGAGCCACATACCCAAACCCTACCACCCCCGCCTTTCCAAAAACATTTTTTTGAGACAGGGTCTTTCTAAGTTATTAAGGCTGGACTAGAACTTGCAATTCTCCTGTCTCAAGTCTCTTGAGCTGCTGGGATTATGGGCATGTGCCACTATGTCCGGCTCACAGTTAATTCTTGACTATATCTGTTAATGAACATTCTGGACCTGATTTAAAATAATATATAGTGTATGCTTATTATTTCTTTAGGATTCCTGATTGTATTCCCAAATTCCAATTAAGAAAATATAAGTAAAAAAAAAACTTCTTTTTCATTTCCCTAATTTTAGTTCTTTAAGGATAGATMTACACTATCATTCAACAGAAGATACACTGTAGATTTTGAGCTGATATTCTTGTATTCCTAAATGTTTAAAGAAGACTTGAGGGGAAAAAGGTCTATATTTTTCAAATGTAGCTTGAAAATAAATTTCAAAGTACTATAGTAAAAAATCCAAGGGGAATTGCTTTTGCCACAATCTAACAGGTATCTAAGCTGTGGAACACAGAAATTATCTTTCAGCTTTTGTTAGATATGTAACAGGTCACTTTTATAATCAGARATAGCAGAGAATAAGATCAACCTACCACTAAACTGTGATTGTTTATTAGTTCTCTGGTAGGTTACTCATMAGAGGCAGGACAGCATTAGGCAAAACAACATTTTAATTTTGTCCCCTTAGTACAGAAAGGGGACTAGGAGGGAGTAGGGAAAAGAATAGGAAAGTTTTTGGAAGTCTATCAAATAATGCTCTGTCATATACAAATAAATCACAATAAATCATATACACACAATGCACGAATTAATTCCTGGACTCCACTGATCCTCCTGCTTTAGCTTCCCACATAGGTAATAATATTGTGCAAAATAACAACAGAAAGGAGATTAAAGCAAGTGGATGGGGAGGGAGAAGAGGAGGGAAAAAAGGGTACTAGGGAATGACAGTGATCGAATTAAGTCATATGCATATATGAATACTAAATATTCTGCATAATTCTACTATTATGTATAATTTTAATGTACCAACAAAAATAATAAATGAAAAAATAAATAGGTTTTCTAAAAAATATATTTTATTTACTATAAAATGGTGAACACATGGATTAAGATTAGACTGTCTAAAATTTCTAGAAACAAGGTACTAAATAGTTGACATTTGGTTCATTTATTCAACTATTTAATGAGCAATTATTACTTTCGAGGCACAAACAATAAAAAATTTTGGYATAAGGCACATACCTTCATAGGTTTCAGGAGGTAACAAAATTAACAGTTCATAAAGCCTTTGTCTATAAACTACTGATGGTGTTTTCAAAGGATTTCCGTATGTTTTTAGTATTGAAGAAAGCCTTAAAATTAAAAAAAAAAAAAAAGTATTCTCTTAAGTGTGTAGGTTAGAGGTCAATGTACAAGTATTGAACAGGCTGAGATATAAACATAAATTAGCTACATATATTAATGAAAATTAGTGATGCTTTATAGTTTTTTTTAATAAGGATTGATTATAAGAGGGGCTACAGTATCATGTTTGGAAATCATTCTAACTTTTCTAACATACTTAACAAAACTATCTAGCCAGTTTCGATTTCTAAGGCCACAAGTATTAGGTCTGGAAACTGAAATTCTTACTATAAAATTTCAAAATCTACAACCTGGCAGTTGTCAAAAATATATCTATCATGTAAAAATGTAATCATCCAAACATACATACAAATAGGAGACACAAATTGCTAGAGAAAACCCAAGCATCTGTTGGAAATTTGATCTGAAAATAAGATCACCAATAAGAACAAATGACCAAACCCCACAAAATCATGAAACAAAYTTTCTTTTAATAAAATATAAACTGAGCCAGTTTTCCTAGAAGTTTCATTCACAAATTGTTATCTTTCTACTTTCTTCTTTTACTTACATTTACTCTTCTTTATCTTCTGTTTACTAYTGGTGTTAAGACATTACTTTATCAATGCACATCATTTAGCAAGCATTTATTGTWGGACAACTATTCTTTGCAAGTACCAGGTCATCAAATAGAGTACAGTTTTGAACTCTTTTAGCATACAGAAATTCAATGGAGCTGCTTTTATTGTACTCYTGGACTATATCTGTCAAACTCATTGCATAGGTGTCTACATTCTCTAAGAAATTCTGGTGATGTTTACTCATTCATGWTTTCTAGGAAACTACTGTTTGCCATTTCTCCTTTTTAGAAGAAAAGAGTTATCTACTGACTTATGCTTTTCCTAAAGCCTAAATAGATTGTGTATGTTCAGTAATAGATTGTGTATGTTCTTTATATAGCTAAAAATAAACCTCACTGCTTCCATTTCATGTTTTCTTAAAATTTTTTTTAGTTGTAGATGGACACAATACCTTTATTTTAAAATTTATTTATTTTTATACAATGCTGAGAATCAAAACCAGTGCCTCACATGTGCTAGGCAAGCACTCTACCCTTGAGCTAAACCCCAGCCCCCATTTCATGTTAAAATTACTTATTTATTTATTTATTTATTTATTTATTTATTGCAGTACTGAGGAGTGAACCTCACTGAGCAAGTACTCTTCTTCTGAGCAACATTCCCAGATATCTCTTTTTTATTTTTTAATTTTTATTTTGAGACAACATCTTGCTAAGTTACCTAGGCTGGTCTTGAACTTACAATCCTCGTGTCTCAGCCTCCCAAATCATTGGGATTATAGGAATAAACTGCCAGATCCAGTTCCAGGCTTCTTTTTAATATATCTTTCAGCTTGGAAAATACTGTGCAAAAAACATTTATAAAACCTGGTAGAACTTTGTAGTAACAGAAATTACAATAACTACAGCATTTTTGTATTTCTCTAGCCAGCTCAGAAGATTATAGCTAAAATATGAAATACCTTTATTTTAAAATTTTCTTTCTTTCTTT